CGAATAAAATTTAAATTTTGTGGGGCGTAAGCAAATTATATTTATTTTATTTTTTAATCATTTTAAAAATGCATTTATTTCACCACACTTGTGCTTACCCAGACATTATATTGAGAATGCAGATTCATGTTTTTCATCTGCAGAACAATTTACAGTAGCACTTCTGCTTTTGAGCAAACAGTAAAGTACTGCAAATTCCCATATATAGTACATTACTGTAAATGGCATTAAAATACCCATAATTCAGTGCATATTACAGTAGTTAACCGTAAAACATATATATGGTAGTTTACTGGGCTTTTTTGCGGTAAGTAACTGTAAAATTACAGCAAAGTCTAACAGTGTACATATATTTTACCTTGCTTACTGGTCTTATTCTCTCGTAAGGTGTATCGATACACAGCGCGGATGTTCTCCGGAACTCTTCCACTCTCACAGGTTCATCCCCGGGCAAAACCCGCGGCGCTGCCCCGTGGGTTCCGTGTCTTCCTCGGATGCGAGCGGCACGGCGCGACGCGACAAAAGACAATATAGAACCCATTGAGAATGCAGATTCATGTTTTTCATCTGCAGAACAATTTACAGTAGCACTTCTGCTTTTGAGCAAACAGTAAAGTACTGCAAATTCCCATATATAGTACATTACTGTAAATGGCATTAAAATACCCATAATTCAGTGCATATTACAGTAGTTAACCGTAAAACATATATATGGTAGTTTACTGGGCTTTTCTGCGGTAAGTAACTGTAAAATTACAGCAAAGTCTAACAGTGTACATATATTTTACCTTGCTTACTGGTCTTATTCTCTCGTAAGGTGTATCGATACACAGCGCGGATGTTCTCCGGAACTCTTCCACTCTCACAGGTTCATCCCCGGGCAAAACCCGCGGCGCTGCCCCGTGGGTTCCGTGTCTTCCTCGGATGCGAGCGGCACGGCGCGACGCGACAAAAGACAATATAGAACCCATTATAATCAGCGATACTATCTACAATGGATGCGGACAGTAAAGTGATGCCCCGGTATATTTCTGACGTACAGATGTACTACAAGCGCTCGCGCTGTTTCTGACACGAAGGGTAAACGTATTTGCCAATCATTACAAGCGATGTAACACGGCCAGTATAGTCTGTCCCAAGCTGTTGCGGCGTTGTAGACACGGTGCAGGACAAATCTTGTCAATCCAAATGTAAGAAGTGAGGAAAATAAAACAACCTCAATGGAATGGCGCCACAGAGGCCGTTACGGCAAATACAGTAGTATACAGCAATTTTTAAAAATACAGTAAGTCACTGTATGTGGAGTTTGACGTCACAGAAAATTCCCATGATGCAAAGGGTATTACAGTTACTTACTGTAAATGGAATTTGCAGTATTATACTGGGGGATATACAGTAAATAACTGTAGAAATTACAGAAATGTCTTAACAGTGTGCAGTATAGAGTCAGAGTCATTTAGCTATGTCTAGATTATAGATTTGCAGCTGCAGGCTGTACACATTTTAAACAGGCTGACAGATTTATGGAAATTACATATTCAAAAAAAACTTAGAATGTTTCGATTTAGGTTTTTAGGAACACATTTAACTAAAAACAATAATTCATATATGAGATGAACTCAGGTCGACTCACCATACGAGCGGATTATGCCGAATTAAAAAGAAAAACTGATTATGCAGGAGGGAGATGCAGGGAACAGGGATTGGGTGTTCTGCAAAGAGAGTTGGAGGTAAATAATTTTGCAGTAGGCTAACTGTTATGCTGATGTTGTTGCTGGTCAAGCAAATGTTTGTGTTTGTTTCTGTATGATATAATTAAAATATATTTAATATAAATATATATATTAAAATACTGATATTCTGGTCTATAACTCCTCCCCGAACTTCCCGCTGCCCTATATCTTGGTCTCTCATTGGCTGTAGGTCATCGCCGATGTGCTTTTCAGTCAGAAATCATTTCACACAGCGTGATTGTGAATCGCTGACAGCTCCAGATATTTAGCATGCCAAATATTTCGCGGGCGTCGGCAACGCGTCGGTGATTCCCTCAGATCGCGTCTTTGATCATTCACACTGCCTGATTGTCACTCGCGTGAACGAGCACCGATTTGCCTCCGATGTCGGGCATTTGTCGGCGATTTCGCAAAACCTGTCGGCGAGTGAAAAATCGGGCTAAAATCGTGCAGTGTGAACTCGGCATTAGGTAAAGTCACTTTCCTTGCCTTTCTTGACACAAACTCAGCAATAAAATTGTTGTAATCCAGCCTGGATGCAATACTCTTTTCAATTGACAAAAGGGCAAGCCACCATAGTCTATCCTGCAACATGGAGGTGCGCAAATAGTTTTTAATTAGTTTCAATTTTGAAAAGCTTCGCTCACTCGATGCCACAGTTATTGGGATAGTCAGTATGAGCGCAATTTCACAATTGGGAAAGGTTCCTTCAATCTTTTTCAGAAAACGACGTGTTTGAAGTGCTGTAGTTATTCCCTTTGGAATTATCTCTCAAAGTATTCTCAAGTCCTCTGCGGTTTCAGATGTACTCAGAGCATCATTCAGTCTTGTGCACTGCCTTTGCAGTTCAGTTTCTTCCATTTCACAGTTTGGTCAGATCAAAAAGAAATCCAAACATGTTGGCAAACTCCTGCATTTGTTTAAAACGGGTATGGAGAGCAGTGAGAGCCTGATCTACTATCACTGTTCTACTGATCTACTCTCACTCTGTTACATATGCTTGCTCTGGGTCTGGGCAATATTCATTTCGATTTTCATCCTGTTTGCATTTCAGTCATCGAATTGTTTTAAATACAGGTTCAATGTCCACATCAGTAGCAATCTCTATTGCAGTGGATTTTGCAGCAACAAATCCAGTGTGTCTGTACTTTTGCATGAAGTCAGTCCATGTAGCTGTGACAACGCGACATCCAGCTGCATG